TCTGTCTTGCTGTGGTTGTGTGTGTGTGTCTGTCTGTCTGTCTGTCTGTGGTTGTGTGTGTCTGTGTCTGAGTTTGTATGTGTGTGGTCCCCTTGGTATTTGGAGATAGGTGTTCAGTATGATGCCTTGGTGATGAATATTTTTTTCTTAATTTTTGTTAACAGAGTGTTACACTACAGCTCAGTGTTTTCTAAACCTCACTATGTAGCCAAGGCTTATCGCAGACTAAGTACAGTTCTGCCGCAATATGCCCAGTATTGGCAACACAGATATGTGACACTGTCTGGATAGAAATAATCTACTTTGGATCTAGAACGGACTTGGAGTTCTTCTGGTCACTGTTGTTACTGTTGGCAATAACCACAAAAATAGAAAATTTTGACCTTGGCAATTCTTCATTAATGAGAACAGGGCAATAAAAAACAATTCTTGTGATTTTAAACTTGGTACAGTCCAAATTTCCTTCACATTTAAGGGTTCTCTTTAATGAAGTGGTGCTGGGTTTCATTAATGCCTGTCTTTCAGAAGGTAGGACATTTGACTAAAAATAATAATAAAGACTTAGAGTATGTTAGGGAACACTGGTCCCAGCTTCTTCCTCTTTGTACTAGCTTGAGATAACACTGTGCTCACATAATCTCAAAGGTGCCATCTCACCCATGTTTTCATTGTCTTCCTTCTTTAGACAATTTCCAAAATGCAGTTGTCCTTGGGACAGCAGATGCCCTGCAGCTCTCTCGACCTGTGCTAAGCAGTGCCACGGCATTAGCAGGAAGCGTGTGCAGCTTCCCCACAGTCTGCAACCCAGCTGTGAGCTCAGCATGGCTCCTGCCCTCGGCCTCCAGCAACTCTCCACAGCCCCTCATGGCTGGTGCCTATCTTTACCAACAAGATGGCACCGCCGTGTAGTCTGCAATTGCCCACCAGAGCCAGATCTCCACGTTGGCAGTCTCCTAATCCAGGTGTCTTTGAGTGGGATCTCACAGGAAGCATCAACTGCAGGTCAGCTGCACTTCGCGAATTCCCTGGTCTAATCACTGACAAGGACACTGCAGTTCCTTCCAGGTCTGCAACAGCCGTGTGTGATCAAGTTTCGGGCAGGAATGCCACAGTCCCTCTGTATCCAGCATTGTCTGTCAGCCTTGTTTGGGGCTCAGCATATCAGGAAACAAGTCAAAGACACAGCAAGTCACTTTCCTACCAGGAAGGCAGCCGGCTTGATCCATACCATCACAGCACCCAGGGACCTCTGCTAGCTGGAAAATTCGGGCCCTCCCTGCAGTCCTACGGGAGTAGGGCACTTGCCCAACAACCAGGGACAGTCATGGTGCTAAAGGTGATTCAGCCCACAGATGTCCAACCACCTGTCTGCACCTCTACAAACTACCACCCAGTGCCCGCTGAGCATTCAAAGCCTCCGGAAGCATATGGGATCTCGAAAGAAAACCAAATCCCATCACTCCTTCCTTTGGTGACCCTTAACGTTCAGCAGCCTCTGTCCTGCTTTTATGCTGACAGCCAAAAGCAGAGGCCTGTATCGTACAACACCAGCATGGGAAAGAACAGCCTGAGTGTGGACAAGCAAGAGGCACATGAAAATTTGGTTGACTCTAGCACTGTGTTTGCTGACAAAAGTACTCTGGTGCCAGATACTCACCATCCCCACCTGCTCACCTCTCTTAGAGGACTGCACCAGTTCCAAGATCCCATCCTGCTTGACGGAGCTCCTCGGGGAAAAATCCATCACCATGGCCCAGGATGCCCGGGACAAGGAGAAGTCGCTGAAGGCAGTGCTGGGACCGGCGATAGGCCATCTGAGAAGACAGCCAGACACAGCTCGGGCTCAGCTCAGAAACCTCCCTCCAGCAGGTCTACCATAACAAATGGTCCCTGGCAGGAGAAGTCCAAAAGACGTAGGGAAAATAACACCAAGAAAAGTGCAGAGCAAAAGCAGGCAAGGACCAGAGTCAAGTCAGAAGAGAAGCCAGCCAACTCAAAGAGGAAGAGGAAGAGGAATCCACCAGAGCTCAGCAAGGAGAGTTTTAAAAAGCCAAGAACACACCTGAGCACGCACATGCTGGAGTCAGTGCAGGTCTTTGACGCACTGGGGAAGAGGAGTGACAGAAAGGCCAGGCTCTCCACATCTAGTGCTGTGGAAAACTGTGGCAGCACCACAGAGCTGAGGCCATGCCCAGCCATCACATCACAGCTGGGCATCCCATGTGAGGGGAAAGTTCCTGGGAAAACCCAAGGCCCAGGCCAGAACTCAGAGAGTGATACTGAAAAGGGGGGTTTAGCTCCATCCATAGACAAGCTGCCCCCTCCAGGGAAGCTCAAGTTAGTGCCTCTGCCTTTCCTAACCCTGGACGAGCCTCAAGTACGAGCTGCGGTTCCGAGGCCACTGTCCCTGGCTTCAAGCAGGTCCCGCGCAGCTTATCCGGCCAGGCCTCACCCCATATCAACTCAGCTTATAACAGTCAATGCATCTCAATCAGCTCCTTCCAGCACATGTCTGGTGAGTCCTACCAAACCAGTTCCCACAATTTCTGTCAGTGCCACCAGACCCAGTGGGAGAAACTCCACCCAGTCCGGCACTGTCTCTCATGTGGATGCTGCCAGGCCTGCACCGTACAAAACATCATCTCACAGGCCTCTGCAGAAGAAGCCCGTTTCAGCTGCTCTGACCAAGGACACGTCACCTCCCAAGAATCAATCCCAGTATCTCCTACAAGACTTCAGCTGCCAACCAATTCCATGGAGGAAAGTGAACATTCCTGGACCACTCATATCACATCCCATCACAACAGCACAGAGGCCAGAGCGGGAAGCCATGAAGAGGCGGGCTCAGCAAGAGCGGGAGAAGGCTGCCAACTACACTGCCTTGAGGAACCAGCAGGTTTTCCTTCAGAGGGAAAACGATATGGAAATTTCTCGCTATTATGACTATGCAATGTAAGAGCTACCGAGACTGTGGGAACAAAGTGGTTCTACACACAGATGTGAAGAGAGATAGATGTAGATATATATGAGATACATATACAGATCTGTACATAGACTTACAGACACAGAGATGAGAAATATAAATATCTAGAGAAGTAAATATGTAGATAAATATATATGAAAATGAAATTTCTATAATTTTATGTATTTTGAAGTTGAATACAATTCACTAAATTCAGTTAATGCATTGTTGAGTAATATAGACTTTTTGTCTTTTTTTAAATACTGATATTATTAATTTAAGATTCAAAGAAATATTTCATATAAAGCAACTCAGAAATTATGTAAATATATAACTAAATATGTAGCTGTGTAGGCAAATATGTAGATATACGTAGAAAATATTCAATAAGCAATTTTATATTTTAAATATTTGGAAGACGTAAAAAGATGACTATCGGAATGTATTTTAGTTATTTCTTGGATGAGTTTATTTCTCGTTTTCTCATAAGTTAGATATTCTTAACTGAAGTTTCAAAAACTACCTCATAAAAACTCAGGAAATTACTGTGTGTTTTAAGCACTTAATAAACTTACATACTTGAATTAAAATTACTCCTCTAGACTTTTGTCTTCATTGCCCCTACTCATTCTTCATGGTACTTTTCATTACAGTACGTACTGGACAGTGACCACAAACTCCCTTCACTGACCCTCCCTTTTGTCACCTCTTGTCCCATGCCTGGGTCATCCTTGTTCCTCCGCACAGCTTTGGTTCTAATCTGTGGAACAATATACATACAGGACTCCTGTGTGTGGAGAAAAAACACACAAGGTATTTGCTTTTCTAAAAGTCACTGGCTTATTTTGATTACTGTGGTGATATCCAGTTGCACCTATATTTTAGCAAACACCATAACTCTTCATTATGGCTCAGAACACTTCCATTGTGTATATTCGTCACAATTTCCTCATCCGTTCCTCAGATACACACTCAGGTTGGTCCCATTTCCTAGCTACTCTGAACAATGCTACAACCAGCACTGCTGTGGAAGTATCTCCCTAACATGTTGACTCCTTTGGAATGGTATTGCAGGTCAAGATGTAGACCTTGTGATGGTTTTCTGACACACCACAATACTGATACCTATGGAGGTCTGAGGACTTTACTATTTTACATGCCCACCAGGAGTATATAGTGATTCCTTCTTGTGTACATCTTTGCTAGTGTTTGTTCTTGTTCTCTGATTGACTGCCGTCCTGAACAAGCTGATGCAATTTCATTAATTTTTAATTGAAATACTCCAATTCCTCTCAGTTTCAACATTTCTACCTGGGTTTTCTTGAGGGTGGGGGTTCTATATTTCATTGTTGACACTGTTCTTAAGTTGCCACTTTACACAGTGGGTTGCTTTACTTTGTACAGCTTAGGTATTTCAGTTTTTCTTAAAGTCTAGATACACTTCATACTCTGGTACTGCAAAGGTGCCTCAAACATACGGAATTTCCAGTCCATAGTTGTTTTGTTTGTCACTGTCCGTAAGTTCCGATTACTCTACCTTCACCTCAAGTCCTGATATAGGGTTGTGCCTTCATCCAGTGTACTACTTAGGTTTCCAGGGTGTTTTCCATTTAATCACACAAATATTATTTCAAGAATGTCATAGAATATTCCATATGTTCATTTAAGAAATTGCAGTTTAATGTTCACTACGATTTTTTTATAATATTCAGATTTTTGGAGTCTCTTGGAACCCATTTAAAGACTGTCTGTGTGCTCCTTGATTCCTCTGCAAATGTTCGTAAGCACTCTGTGAATCCTTTGTCTGGATTTCACCTAAAGCACTATCATCAGGACTTATCAGAAGGCATTGTTATGGGATTAAAGTTTTTTATTTATTATTTTTATTTTATGTGCATGAATGTTATGCCTGCGTGTAAGTAAGTGCACCTGTGTCATGCAATGCTCACGAAGGACAGAAGAGGCTGTTGGATCCCCTGAAACTGGAGTTACAGACAGTTGTTAGCTGCCATGTGGCTGCTGGGATTTGAACCAGGGCCTTCTGCAAGAACAGTAAGTGTTCTTAACTGCTGCGCCATCTCTCCAGCCCCAAGGGATTATGTGTTTTACAACAGTCATACTGCTATGTTTTTTCATTTCTTTTTTTCCGTGATGAATTCTGATGGTTCATCTGTAGATCGGTCATTGGTGGGAAATGCTTGATCACCAGTGTTATTTCAGTGGACTTGTTTGGAATATTCAAGAGGGAGTAAGTTTTGGTAGATCAGAACTGGTTTCCTTTGTAGACTGTTACAAGGTGAATCATACACAGCACTACCCTGATAATAGCATAGAGCCTTCAGAAACAATAAGAATCAATGACTACAAACATATTCCATAATAATAGTCACAATAACACCAATCTTTCTAAGCCAACTATTTTACGAAGCAAAGGAATTCTGATACACCCATGGGGTTTAAATTGTTGTCTACTGTGGTATGAGAGGAAAGGACAATTAATACAGATTTCATTTAGGAAGAAGGGAGGTGGGAAAAGTACATAAAAAAGGAAAGAAGAGAGATAAGAAAGGGGATGAGTTTGACCTAAAAGCCCAATATAAAGAGGAACGTATGTAAAATGTAGTCAAGTAACCCATAAGAACATGAGGTCCTAGACAAGAAGAGTTTACAAACAAGGAAATATGCAATTTCTCTAAGCATGTAAAAGGAAAATGAAAATAAAAACATAAAAGGAAGGGTACTGTCTGTGTGTGAGAGAGAGGCAGAGCGAGAGACAGAGACAGAGAGACAGAGAGAGACAGATAGAGAGCGAGACAGAGACAAGAGAAACACAGAGAGGCAGGAAAACAGACACAGAGACAGAATGATAGAGACTGAGAATCTATGAGTAAGTTTAGTTTACCTAATGAGAATTGTGCAAACACCTCTTTATCCTATGTTCGGTACCAGATATCATTTTAAAGCAAGGAATAATACAAACTCCACCCTGTGAACCAATGAGACTACTGGGCTTCTTTACAGAAAATTGGTGACATCTCACTGTAGGACCATGGCTGGTCCCCAAACTACTTAGACACTACGGGGATTCTTTACAGAACATTGGTGACATCTCACTGTAGGACCACGGCTGGTCCCCAAACTACTTATCTCTGCAAGGACGGGGCACATGGAAAGGGACGTCATGGAAGTTCCATCATGCAGTCCTGTTTTCACTTAATTCTCCACTTCCTATATAGTCTAACATCTGGCAAAATCAACTCCCACTAAGAGATTGGATGAAACAGGGAATACAGGCTGGAATCTCAGCTCAGGGAGCATGACTCACACTTGCTTCTTCTGTTAGGGAGTACTAACAGAAGCCTTAGACCTAGCTATCATGGCGTTGTTCTACTAAGTAAGTTTCAGGACCTCCATAGAAGGGCATCTCTATACAATCACATTAGGCTTATGACTTCCTATCTGGACTGAAGAGCCCAAATTTCAATATTGCAACCCTTCCTCCAGTATTTCCATTCCTTCTATCACTGCTTCCCCAATGTTCTCTGAGCCTTGCAAGCTGTGATATATATGTAAAACTCTAGTGAATATTGGACTGTCAACATAGAAGCATTGACTCTCAGGAGCTTACTGGGTTTGAGTGCCTTCATTAGTAAACAACACCAAACACAAGAGGTTCTCCTCCAAATTCAAGGCAGAGAGCATGAGTAATAGGAACATGGATGTGTTTATCTGTGCAATGAAACACAAGTGTTCAGAAGACAATCGGACAGTCCCATCAATTCAATAATGCAAAATAATACCAGTTGTTTCCCTGTTCCAGCCACAGGGTTTTGTCTTTTTAACACCATATATTTTTATTTTTTATGTGTTTCAGTATCATGCTTGATGTATGTAAGTGCACCCAAGTTAGTGCCTGTGGAGGCCAGAAGAAGGTGGGGGACCCCAGCGACAGGAGTTACATTTAAGACATAATTGCAATGTGAGTGCTGGGATTTGAACCCTGGTCTTCTGCATGAGCAGGCAGTGCTCTTAACTGGATATATCTCAGTTCATATTTTCAGAGAATCAGACACAGAGTCCATTTTTATTAAGGCTGTTGGTTAAAATGCTCCCCCAACAGCCTGCCAGAAAACATCTGGATCTATCAAATACGGACAGCAGGAAGGGAATACCCATTCAAACCCATTTTGAATCCTCAATACCGTGAAACCTGACAATATGTTGTCTTCACCAATAAGCACTCACCATCTAGTTCTGGAATGAAACCAGCACCAGTAGAAACGCATTTATGATTTTGGAGTTTCTAGTGGTTAATAACTCAGAGACAGATAGGCAAAATCTTAAACTGAGCCTTCATTTCACAGCCATATGGCTTGTGGAAATACATTTCCACCCATGTAGAGTACATTTTTTAAAAAGAATGTACTCTTCTGTACTGTTCTAGAGGCAGTACTGAATTTAGCAGTGGAAAGGTAACAATAATACTACCATGAAATGAAACAATAATACTATGCATCAGCATCTGGAGAACACGCAGTACAACCTCCTGAGAAAGCCTCACCCTGTCCAAGCCACCAACCCGGATGACTAGAGCCCATCAAAGGTGTCAAAGTTGGAAGCAGTCCCAGAAGTCACAAAGGAAGCAGAAACCCTGGTAGATGAGTGGCCTCAAAGGACTCAGATTCCGTTTTGGTATTGGGGGGTGCCATTCCCTTGAATAGCATCCTCTGAAGGTAGAGGAGAGGAGAGCAGGGCTAAAGACCCCTTGCTGATCCCTGCTGTGCCATGTTTTCAGCAGCCCCACCATGGACAGCTTGGCACAGGTACACAGGAGTGACAAGAAACCCTGTGCAAGGGCCTCCAGGGAGCATCCAGCTGGAAGCCACAGAGCCCAAGGTCACACAAAAATGATGAAGAGTCCCAACTTGGGGGAGACTCCTCAGCATAAGGTTAGGAAGATGACCAGATGCTCGGCAACCAGAGTACAACCCTGC